TATTCGGGGGGGGGGGAATCACGAATAAAAGATTTCAATAGTGATATGCCTTATTAGAGCATCTCAATAACCCTTATTTTCAAACTACAGTCTTTTAATCTGATCTGTTCTAATTTAGCGTATTCGCACGTTTTCTCCTTGGAAAATTTCACAGGTACTGCCTTTGGGTGTGGCCTTTCATGAATCAGTGACTTTGGCTTTTAAAAAAATGTTTTGTTTTTTTGTGTGTATGTGCCAGCACCGTTGCCAGCGAATCATGATACATTAGGAGGTGCTTTTCTGTCTATAAAATTTTCATAACCACCCGATGTGGTGCCAGGAGAGGGTCCCTCAGCCCCATTTTAGAGATGGGGGCCCAGAGAGTCAGGAAAGATAAGGGGACCCGCTCAAGGTCACACTACTGCTAAGGGACAGAGGTGGTACCCTTGCAGCAGCACTGGTTTTCTGGCCCTGTCCTTATGTCCTGGCAGGGCAGGCTAATATCAGAGGGGATCAAACAGGGCAATTTTCAGAGCTGGCCTTTGTATAGCCATCGGCTTGTGGGCTGTGCCCAGCCGGGAGGTGGCTCGGAAATCACCTTCCCGGGGTAATGATCTTCCTGCTTTGTTACTCCGCGGACACCCTGTCAGTACCCTTCCTCAGGGGGCTCATCCAAGCGGCTTCTGTTTGAAGATAAAATAGACACATTCAGGGACTCCTGCGAGGTGCTCTCTGTCTGCTTTTTTACACGATTAGCACTTAGTGATAAAGTTCAGATTCGTCTTCCTGACATTTTCTTTTTTAATTTTTTAAAAAATTTTAATGAAGTGGTATGTATATACAGAGCAAAAGGCGAGGAACTCAGTGAATTTTCACAAAATTTTCACAGGAAACACCTGTGTTTCCCAGATCAAGAACCCAACGTTACTGGAACCCCGGAAGACCCCTCATGTTCCTTTTCCAATCACCGTGCCTTTCTGAGTCTTCATTCCCTAATTTGGTCAGGGTTTTGCATGAAACTCTGAAATGGCTGTATTGATCCCATTAAGAATCCACCAAGTGAGTGAGCAGAGCCATTTCCTTGCACACGGTAACAGATGTCGCTGTCCTCTGGAGATTGCTCTCCTGAGCCCTGGGGTCTGGGATGCAGCCCAAGCTGCAGGGCCTTCCCTTGCTAAGTGGTCCAGAGCTTTTCAGTGTGGGATGACTTAGCAACGGGGCAGACCAGCTCTGTTTCCCGTGCCTGACCCGCGGCTGCCTCAGCCTTCGGGTCCCAGCGGGGCCTCCTCAAGAGGTCACTCTGGTACCACCGCCGAGTGTGGCTGCCGGTGCCTGTGGGCCCTGCTGTGTGAAGCAAGACGGAGATGCTCCGGGGCCTCGGCTCTGACTGTGTGCTGCAGGCTGGGAGGGCGGTTGAGCATCTCTTACTCTTGCTTCCTGTTGGCCCTCCTACCTTAACTGATGCTCTGGGTTTGGGAACCCTGGTGACTTGGATTTTTGCCTTCTGATTATTGAGGAAGCCTAGAAAACCAATCTGTAGGAAGATGGTGGTAATGCAGTTAATCAGCAGGCCTGAAGTATCCCAATGTGAGTGCTTAGTAAATGCTTCTTGAAACCAAGGAAGAGAGATGGTCACTCATTTTCTCAACTGCATTTAAGAAGCAAAATGTAGGGTTTGGTCATTCTTCTCAAGGTTGAAACAATAGTCTTTCCTCAGACTGGTCTAGATTTATTTAGTTATGCAGGACTTTATGCCAAACCATTGTCATTACCACCAACTACTGCTTCTTGGAACCTCTTTTGTCCCATTCCCAAATAGTCCCCAGTGTGGACCTAAGAGCCATCCCATTTTTAGCAGAGCCCCCCCCCCCCCAGTTTATTTTAGGATGTAAACTATATGCATCCATGCCTTGCAAACTCAGTTCTAGAGCCTTGTGAAAGGAGTTCTCATTGCTTCATTTTATTGTTTTAAAGAATATTAGGTGTCAGTTTAATGCTTTCAATTGCTATTAAAGAGTGTAACCTTTCTCTGGGTAACACTGGGAATCAGCAAGATTTGTTCATAAAAAGATAGATGTGTGTGACATCAGCTGCCCTGGATTTTTAGATGTAAATTTAGCTGAATACATTGTAACTTGATATCACTTTATTGAATATTTTCAGTCTAAGATGGCTATGAGAATTAAGAACCCAGGAAAGTTTGGGGTTTAATTTTCATTTTGTTTCAACAGGGGTAAAAATCAACACATGGTGGTGGTTAAAAGAAATGTTAGAGAGTGTTAACTTTATTATATTTGTCTTTATACTTTTCAAAGTCAAAAGGCAGGTGGATTTCTGCTTGCACTGTTTAATTGGTATTATCTAAGGGTTCTATGATCCACAGGGAAATGTAAGCCCATCTCCAAATTTAAGGTCATTAAATTGATGATTCATTGTTAATCTTTTCTAAAAGCTTATTTTTTAAATAAGTTCTTTTAGACCAGCGAATAAATTATTATAAATCACTTCCTTTGTTTGTTTCTAATGTGAGATGCTATCCAAGACCTAACTTGTTTATCTCAATGTTTTGAAATGATGAGCTCTGTATGTAAGATATTGCCAGCATTATACATAAAATATATATTAGGAACATCAAGTTGTTGGCTTAAAAAGAGGAAGAAAGTAAACCAAAGGTTAAGTCAAGGGAAAAAATAAGAAAACTTTTCTCTGAGAAATAAAACCTTGAATTTAGCATTTCCTTTGTTTTAATTCTTTCTTTAGTTTATGATACTAATCTGACTTGATCACTTTTTGGCATAATTTTACAAACAGAATCTTAGGGTTATAGATTAATCATTTAGACTTGGAAAAAATATTGAAAAGCCAGTTTCTCAGAGGGAGCAACCGAAGCTCATAGAGGAATATAAGCTTGTCAAAGGCCCAAATAACTGTCACATAGAGCCCACGGGCCATTTCAACGTGGAATGCATGGTCCTGATGGGCTGCTTTCTCCAATTTACTGTCTCCTCTAGAATTATAGATTTTAGCCTTTAAATGGAAGGTGCTTTTTAAAAATTGTTGGTTTTGTGAAATAATTCTGCAAAATGCTTGCATGATTGGTCAAACTTGGCCAGATCTAACCTGTGTAAAGTTAGGGAATCTGGCTCCTCATTTTCACCTCGACTTCTCCTGTGGTGGCCCCCCCCACACATACTCATACATACAACCCTTTCTCCTTTTTCCATCTATAACTTCTTGTGCACTTTAGCCTGCTCTTTGTGCACTACTACCCCTTGGGATCAGAGAACTGAGATGGAGAATCCTTTGTTACCCCGTGATCTCTGTGACAGAGGAATGGCACTCCTTGCATATGAGGTGGGATAGTTCTCAGGATGCCTGGCCTTAGGCCAATTTCTCAGGTGGGAGTGATTCCCTCTGGGCCTTGCTTTAAAGAGTGGAGGCTTATCTCCTGCAGCTGGTGCCCCCATCCGGGTAAGCCAAGGGGCACAGTGTTCATAGAGTGCTGGAGAAGCACAGCCTCAGGGACGAGCTCCACCTGTTGTTTCCTGG